GGCGCGGCGCGGCGCGGAGCGGAGCGGCCCGCGGGCCCTTCCGGGAAGGGTCGGCGCGGGGCAGCGGGGACGCGGCCCCGGCAGCGCCGGCGCGGGGGAGCCGCGGTCTGCCGCGCTGCCGCCTCCTCACCGGCTGCGCTTTTTTAATTCCTTTTATTCTTAATTATTATTATTTTCGTTGTTTTTTTTTCCTCCTTTTTTTCCCCTCTTCCCCCCTTTTTTTCTCTCCTTTTTTCCCTGTTTTTTCTCCATTTTTCCTTTTTTTTTTCGCCCCTCCTTTTCCCCCCTCTGCACCCTGCAGAAGGGAGCCCCATCCCCACTCGTGCTYGCCTCGCYGTGGGCTTTGCTGACCCGCCGCCTYGCGTCCCCGCGCGCCAGGGCTGGCGGAGCGGAGCCCTCCCGTGTCCACACGGGCCGCGCAACGGCAGCTCCCGACTCCYGTCTGCGGATCAACCATGACCAACAACCTCTCTCCCTTTCCCTCTTTTCCAGGTTGTCTGGAGGCCCTGCCTGCACCTCGTCTTTAGCGYGAGATGTGCGTTTAGCCCATGGCCTGCGTCGTATTTACGTTGCTAGAAACTCGGGGTGGGGAGAGTCTGGCGCCGGGGACATCCCTGCCAAAGGTGACTCTCTAGGGACGYTCGTTTTTTCCCCTCGCAATCTGGATCGGCCTTGAGTTTTGGGGTTTTATTGGCGAGCTGCCAGAGTAACTTCAGTGGTGGTGGAGGCACCAAGTTGGCCACACGAGAGAGAAAACCCTTAATCTTGTGTGTGAGCCCCTAGACTAGCTGCAGGAAGGCGAATAAGATTTTCACACAACTTAAACAGTGTTTGGGATCAGTTGCGTTGGGATCGGCACCCTTCAGGCTAAGGCTCGTGGGCATTTTACTTCTTTTYAAATATTTAAACAGAGACTTGTTTGAAAAGCCAGTGTGCTCTTTAAAAAAGGGAAAAGAAATGCTCAAGGATGGATGCTCATGTGTCAGCTCATCATTTTTTACTGAACGAGTATAGAAAACTGCTGTGCAAACTACTGAATAGGCTATAAAGAAAATCCTTTTATATACRCATTGCAGTGTGTTTTTTATAAAAGCAAATTGAGCAAATAATTTTAAACCTAGAAGAAAAATTTGTATAACCTCTGCATTCTTATTTCTGTGGTATTACATGCAAAATGAGTTACAGTTTTTACTACCTGGAGGCTGAAAGATTAACTCCTTGCTGAAAGGAGCATCGGACTTGGCGTGTGTGAGGTGATCAGGATCAGGTAAAATTGATTTTTGTATTAGCAAGCAGGAAAATGCACACTCAAGATTTGCTTGATTAAAAGTTCTGGTGTCTAGCAATGGAAAGCCCACAAACAAACTTCCATCTAGGTCTAGGTTCAGACCACAAAAGGAGTGGGATCCAAGAGGATGGGAGTCCTCCAGTAAAAAAAGCAATGACAGAAATGCATGTAAATAGCAAAGTACGAGTTGTAATGAATAAATTGCCAACGATAAAGAAGGAAAACCTGGATGAATATGATGGAACTTCTGTGGAGGCTGATGGGGAAATCGCCAAGCCAAATAATACTTCGCTATCCGAGSCTTTGAATTTAAATCCAGGTTTGAAGCACACGCTGGCACAGTTCCACTTAAGCAGCCAGAGTTCATTGGGTGGCCCGGCAGCTTTCTCAGCTCGTTATTCCCAGGAAAGTATGTCACCCACTGTCTTCCTGCCTCTCCCATCACCACAAATACTTTCTGGTCCGCTGCTCATTCCTCCCGACAGCTCCACCGAGCTCACTCAGACTCTCTTGGAGGGGGAGTCTATTTCTTGTTTTAAGGTTGGAGGAGAAAAGAGACTCTGCCTGCCTCAAGTTTTGAATTCGGTGCTGCGAGACTTCTCGTTGCAGCAGATTAACACTGTGTGCGACGAGCTGTACATCTACTGCTCGAGGTGCACGTCCGACCAGCTTCACATCCTGAAGGTTCTGGGAATTCTTCCCTTCAACGCGCCGTCGTGCGGGCTCATTACGCTGACCGACGCGCAGAGGCTGTGCAACGCTTTGCTGCGTCCACGCACTTTCCCTCCGAATGGCAGCTTCCTCCCCGCTAAGAACACGCTGGCCCAGCTGAAGGAGTCTGGCAGCGCCTTTGAGGTAGAGCACGAGTGTTTGGGCAAGTGCCAGGGGCTGTTTGCACCTCAGTTCTACCTGCAGCCGGACGATCCGTGTATCCAGTGCTTGGAGTGCTACGGCATGTTTTCGCCTCAGACGTTTGTGATGCATTCGCATAGATCCCCCGACAAAAGGACCTGCCACTGGGGGTTTGAATCGGCCAAGTGGCACTGCTACCTGCACATTAACCAAAAATACTTGGGAACCTCGGAGGAGAGGGAGCTGAAGCATCTCTTGGAGGAAATGAAGGAGAAGTTTAGCGAGAAAAATCAGAAAAGAACTCAGTCCAAAGTAAGTTCACCTACTCTCATGAAACTCCTGAGTCTCTTTCCGATAACAAGTAAATATTTGTCTTAGAAGCCCGTTGTTTGTCTTTGTCAATGTGAATGTTTGTCAGGTCAAGTGTAAGTTAAATTTAAGAGAATTCTTCACTGAGATTGAGAGCTGCAGTATTTCTCTTTGAGATTTCTCAAATTTCTCTTTGAGCTTTAAGTCTGGTTTGGTCTTGTTGAATTTTGTTAAAATATRTATTTTTTTTTAAAGTATGCAGTCTCTGAAAATATGTAGAGCTATTGTGGAAATTTTCTTTCTCCYGTTTGACCTTTGAGTGTGTTGTTTTAAACTGTGTGTTGCAGCAGCTGAGCCAAGCAGAAAGGAGCTTGAAAATCAAGTATTGTAAATGAATTCTTGCATTTGTTATTTTAACTCTAGCGCATGCATATACAGTATATGGCTACCTGGCTTGCTAACCACCCAGCAACATCTCATGACTTTGCATATAGGGTAACGGCACATTGATAAGTTGCTATTTGAAAGCCCCGAGCCTGCTTGATCAGTAACAGATTAATGTTAAGCAGACTATGTAGAGAAATATGACGAAAGAAAGGGCTTTTAAATCACTTCAAGTAATGAGCTGCAGGACAAATGCCAGTAATGGACGTTGTGGGGTATTTTTTTATTTCCTAAAAATACAGAGCTTAGGTTTTACCATAGAGAGCTGCTCATTTAAGTAMAGAACATGCACCAGATAAATATTGAATATTGCTGGGGAAATTATTGTATTATGCTCAAGGAAGAAGATTTTAAGGGGAAATTTTGGAGAGAACGGTTAGTTGAACATATTAAAAAAAAAGGAAACATTGAGGTACTCATGTCATAGATATTTTTTTGATGGAATATACAGTACAATTGGGTATAATCTGAATTTAGAAGTTCTGAAATGGTTCTTCCACCACCACTATTTTTATTTTATTATATTTAGCATTTGAGAGTCTGCTTGCTGACTACTGTTTTGATTAGATACCCATTTTGTCYGTTGGATGTTTTATCATGGATTTCAAAGTCAGCAGCAGCAAAAGCAGTCCAGAGAGGTGGGCCCATAAATTTGACACCTTTCCAAATAAACTTGTTAGAAGTTAGTATTGCAGACAGGTTTACAGTAACAGATCTTTTTGAAGCTAAAAAGATTAAAATAATTTAATAGGTCAGAGTTTGGAGCAGTGCCTCTGGACCCCTTGTATTGGGGAAGGATGTGATGTTCAGTAGTCCTGTCTTTCCGTGTGTTTTCCTGCGGTGTGAGAGGTAGTAAGAGTGTACAGATGTTACCTGCTCTTATACTCTTAGGTAAATGCCTTTATAGGATATTCTACTTGCTGTTTTATTGCCTTCTTGCCTTCTTTGTAGAAAAGCAGTAAATACTCTGAAGTTTTGAGGTTATCTTGAAGGGTCCAAGAAGAACAGTTGTCCTTGGTCAACTGTCCTTCCCTCTATTTTAGTGGTAAAAGTAACAGATGGAAATAATAGCTTGTATGTAAAATAAATCCAAAACCAGAAATGAGATACTCCAATGTGGTAATAATAATTAATTAATGAAATTGTCTTTCTCAGTTTACGCACCTCACAGTATACGTGCGCTTTGGCTCTCAGTGTGCTCAGAGTAACCTGTGTCCTTGCAACTACCCTTGAAAAGTTAGTTCCTTTCTCTCCTTCGTGGTAATAAAAAAGSTCTAAGTGTATTTGGTGGTCACAGAGTTTCACATCTTCTGTTGACCTCGGGGCCTTCTCACCGAAACAGCTCTCACCAAATCTCTGTTGTTGTCTGTGGTGAGAGACCCCCATTCTCCTTGACTTTGCAGCAGTCCCTGATAATCCCCCTGCTACGACTTTGTCTTGCTGCTTCAGCTGGTTCATTGAGTTGGTTGTTACACTCACAACGTGTGGATGTAGAGTTAACATCTCTTCTGAGTATTTCTATAAATCCCATCACTGCTTAAAAACTACTGCCTTAAGTGACTGGACAGAAACTACCTGTCCATTTATATAGATACTTTCCACTAAGCTTTTATCAGTTTTTCTTTCATTCGCATGGCAAATCTTGTAAGAAATGTACGGAGTAAGCTTTCTGGGAATAGAAAGGGGCTCAGAGTTACTAGTTTGCATAATGGCCAGACCAGAGATTTTCTTTCTAATCCCTGACTGCAGCTTTGAGCATAGTCATAATACAATTTTATATTATGACTATCTTCTCGGTTTGAGATGGATTTTTCTTTTTAATTAAGTTTCTGAATTTCCTTAAATAATAGCTCATACCACTAGCTTTGGGGGAAAAAGTAAAACTTGAAAATACAGATCATCTGATATATAATTACATATATAAATATAGAAACATGCTAAAATACCAGTCCCAAAAGCTGAAAAAGTTGCCATTCAGAAATACTATAGATTGAAATTGGGTTTTCATATGGTAGCTATATATATAGCTATATACATATATATATATATATATATATGTATATATATGTATATATATATATATGTATATAGCTATATATATATATAGCTATATAGTATATATAGTATATAGTATATATATATATAGCTATATAGCTATATAGTATATATATAGCTATATAGTATAACTAGAAGAACTTATGTGCAATATTTGATTATTAGAATGACTTGAATAAGCAGAAAGAGATTGAAATGGGTTTCAAGATGAGACCATTTTTCTAGAGATTATTCACTTTATTTCTAATCTTCATTATTTAAACATTCAATTATGATTTTATTAACTTGGAGCTTAGCTTCCTTGTGCCCTCACTCATTCATATCTGTTTTGGAACTGATCTGAGGAACAACAGGGCTGGAGTTAAATTTAATTTTCTTTGCTAGAACTGAATTTCCAAGACAGGCAGTTTTCACCATAATGTAGACTCTGGGACGGGCTCTTTGTCATGGAMAAATGGCAGTCGGTTCTGCAGGGCTTGGTACCAGCTCCGTGGTTCTGACTGGGTGTTCACTRAGTGCCAAAGATGAAGCTCAAGATGATTCCTTTCAGGGTGTGAAATATAAACTTTTCCGAGCATATCTTATACTCATGAAACCTTTGAAGCTATTGAGATGGTAGATGAATTTTTTTTATTTAAGCCAATTTTGTTTCCCCAAAACCCACCTGCATTAATATTTTTGGAGTTTTCATTTTGTGTAGATGTCCTCCCAGTTTCCAAGGATGCTTTAATGTAGTGAAATTAAAAATTGATTCCTTAGCTGTGAGCATCTTGCCTATATACAATGAGGTGCCTTTCCCATAAAAGTGTCTTTGAAGTGCACCTGAATTGTTTTAATGATTAATCAAAAAAAAAAAAAAAAAAGAATTCTTATTCACGTGTGAAATACACAGATGACTTAAGATGTTGTATTCTGATGCATGAGAGGTCTGTGTTGTTACTGCAAAGGAAATAGAGTTGTCATGTCAGTGCAGCTTTGCTTGTTTCTGTAGTTAAAAATTCTTAACTAAGGAATTTCTATGTTCTGTAACAGGAGTAATTACATCATTTTATTCATTGATTTTTCTTTGTAATAAAATATCTGGCAAGTGGATTATAGAGGTGGATACTTTATTGCAAAAGTCAAAGCTYATGCAACCCTTTGGGAATTTTAGTTTCTGCTTTTTGTTTCTCCAAGTACTCATAGCATACCTCTGGCAAAGTTTGGAAACTCCAGAATTTTTTACAGGCTTGTAAAGAGCCTTTTCCTTTTTCTTTCATTGCTACTTTACCCATATCTGGAAGCTGGAGATTGAGGAGCCTCCTGTGGTTTGCATCACCCTGTCCCTCTGCCAGGGCCTCTTCTCTTTCCAGGGACTCTTCACTTTCTAGTACCCCGAGGTGTCTGCACCGCCTGCCTTTGGGCATATGTATTAATTGTATAAGTGTCATTCCACTGAGCAGGATTTAGAAAGATGTGAATAAAATGTAATAGTCTTCTCATTAGTGTTTTGGTTTTGTTCTTTAGATGGATTCACAGCAGAGTCTAGAGGTATCGCAGTGGTATCCAGTTATAAAACAAGAAGCAGAAACTGCTACTCAACCACCCTCGTTTGTCCATCCCAGGTAACTAAATTTCCTGTGTAGAATGTTGCATAGACAGATKAAATGCTTCCAAATGTCTAAAGGCAATTTCAACTTAAAAATGTACTTAAAACCTAACATTTTAGAAAAACTCTTAAGACTGCACAAGAACAATTCAGTCTTTTTTTGTACTTTTTTCTAAATATTAATGAATTGCATATGAGTGATTTTTRGTACTGTGCTCAAGGTTTCATGAGGAAATAAAATGTAATTACAATTTCCCTTTCCCAAGTAGAAATGGCAGAAGCTAATTCTTAATCCTTCCTATTTAACTTCATGCATGTGAAAAGCTTCCCAGTGCCCACTTGCCATGAGTCCCAATTAACTTCATTTCAAAACAAACTTGTAAAAGCTGTTAATTTCCTAGTTTTAGAAACCAAACGCATTTCCTTAATGTAATACACACTTTGTCATCTGCATCAGTGAGGCACACAGTGTTTCTTGACCCTCCTACTGTGCCATCCCAAGTAGTTATCCATTTACTATATATAGGTGAGCTCACCCTCTGAATCCAAGTAACACGTGTACATCATACTAATTCCCATGCAAGCCCATGAGTGATGGAGCTGCAGTGATGGGCCCCCAGTTTGCTGTTTCTATAAGTAACTTTTTTTCAGAACCAAGAGAAAGGAAAGTATTGAAGACTTTTGGTCCCAGTGCTGTCTTGTCATACTCATGCTTTTGGCAATGAACTTAAGAGATTTGGATTCAGTGATCTTTTAATTTCACTCTTTGACTTTAAGTGAAGAATTTGATTTTTTTTTTCCTTTTAATCAGTCATGTTAGAAAACTTCTTCTTTGATATCCTCAAAACCACATGTGAGTAAACTCTTCAGTAAAGGTTAAGTGGATCATTATGATTTCTTTTGACTAAGGAAAACGTACTTATGAAAGGAAGTACTTCTTGAAACTTGTGCTGTTTGAAATCATGTTAAATTGGAACTTGTTTTTTTTATCCTCATTTACTATACCTTAGTTCTCATTTATAATTTTACTCTTCTACCGTTTCAGTTACTACCTTTATATGTGTGATAAAGTGGTTGCCCCAAATGTGTCTCTTGCGTCACAATATAAAGAAGTTGCAAAACCAGCAGTTAGAGCAGAAGTAATTAAATCCTCATCTGGACAGCCTGAGAAACAGCTCAGTAGTGGAAAACACAAAAGAGCCGCTTCCTATCCCGAGCTTTCTCTGGAAGAACAGGAAAAGGTTGACTTGAAAACTGGCGTGGGGCACCATAAACGTCCAGGTGAGTGGGCGAATGATAATTGAAAATTATGTTAAAATCTTTTCAGTTTTTATATTACGTAATTGATTTTAGAAAGCTCAATGTCGAGTTAGCATTTGGTGATAGTTTCCATGCCAGTCAGTTTTCCAAATTCTTTTGGCTTTTGTATATTTTGTAATTTGTATATTATATAATTTGTATATTTTGTATATTTGTAAATTCTTTGGCCTTCTTTTTGCCTTCAGTTTGCATTTTTTCACTGTGGAAGTCTAATGTGCTGTGATTGTTTTGCCATCTTTCTCTTGTAGATCCGCCTGTATCCACTCATTCTGCAAGAGACAGCAAATCTGAACGTATTTCTTCCAAAAGCGCTAGGCACTCCAGCCATGCTGAAGTACGTCATCGTGTACGAACCTTGTCTCCAACTCTCATGAAGGACATCAGCTGTGAAGACGACAAGGGAAAAATCATGGAAGAAGTAATGAAAACCTACATGAAACAGCAAGAAAAACTAAATATCATTTTGCAGAGGAAACAACAGCTTCAAATGGTACAGTGGCAAACTGAATAAGTTTTATTTTTATTATCTGAAAACTGTTGTGTGTTAGTTATTTCTAGAATCATTATCATAGATTACTGTCATTTTAAAACTGCCCAGTAGCTAAGTATTTTCCGTCTAGATTCCATTTTGAATCTAGACACTGAATCTGTAATAACCCATGTGCTGTTTAGATTAGAACCCACTAATAATTGGTATCTTTTCAGTTTGTAATTACTATGCTCGAGTAGCTGCTCTTTTATCTACATGAAAACTATTATTTTCACTTCAGAATGTTTCTAAACACTTAAATATTTTTGTGAATATAGTTTGTTAAATGCTCTAAAATTTCTTAGTTCTCAAGTGCTGACATCAGCCTTCTAGGAATGATCTCATTGCTGCCCCCTATGAAAAGACCCTCTTCCTATTTCTGTTTGATCCCTCTTGCTTGTAGGTGATTTTTATTAGTTTTTTTAGTCGGATGGCATTAGAAACTGATCTTCATTTGTGATTTTTATTTCATTTCTATGTTTAAACTAGCTAAATACTACATTTCTTTCTTGCATTCATTGACAGATGCTATATATAAAAATATATATTTAATTTCAACATTAATTTGAGAATCAGGGAGCTTTGATAATATCCCTGGGCATTATCAACTAACAACTTTAAATTTTTCTATTGTTGGAGATAAAACCTATAGATAAGTTAATTATTAGACATTTTATAAAAGTTAAAAATGCTGGAGGAAAAAGTAAATACAACACAGATTAAGCTTTTTTTCCTTATGTTTATTCTGTTTTTTTGAAAATGTGCTCGTTTCATCTTCAGAATCTCTTTTAATGAATCAGAATGCTGCTTTCTGTGTTCCACTTCTGGAAATTGTGAATCAGTTTCTGTGAATTCTGTGTATTTGAAAGTATGATTGCTTTGTATTGAATTTAATTTTAGTGACATGATTTCAGGCTGTCATGATACGTTGATGAATGTGTTCTTTTTGGCCTCGTTATTTCCAGATAACCATTTAAATTATAAAATGAGTTCTTGACTTTCTTGGTTCTAGAACTCAGGTGAATATGGTCATGATCTCTTTCTTGACAGGAGGTTGAGATGTTAAATAACTCTAGAGCAATGAAGGAACTCACTGAAGAGCAGCAGAATTTACAAAAAGAACTTGAATGTTTGCAGACTGAGCATGCTCAAAGAATGGAAGAATTTTATTTTGAGCAGAGAGACCTGGAGAAGAAACTGGACCAAGTAATGAAACAGAAGTGTGCCTGCGATTCCAATTTAGAAAAAAACAAAGAAGCTGAATATGCTGCACAGGTGAGAAATGAAAGTTTCTTTCAAATTGAGCTGTATTTAGTCTATCATCATTTGTGATGCTCTTGCTAAGTGAATTTGAGAGTTTCAGTGACTGAACTTTTATTGGAGTGTTTCTGCCACATTAAAATTTCATCTTCTCTGTGTGTTCTTGTTTGAGAGATTAACACCATAGACTAATATCAAAGATTTATATCAAGACAGGTCACCATCTTGCTTGTGCAAGCATATTTCTTTCTTCTGTGATTGAAACTGAAGTAGGGTGCTTACAGAAACTTAGAGAAACATTTCACGTGTCAAATGTTAGAAATTCTCTTTTCAGATATCTGAATGGTATTAGTGCAATGTTAACCTTAAAGTTCATGTTATTCCCATTTAAAACAAATCAACTGTTTAATAGTCTTGCCCATAGTACACATTCTCGTTTCAGGTATAGAAATTAGAACATGGCTAGTACATAGTACATGGCTATTCTTTGCATTACTTAGTGCTTGGATCTGATATCAGGTATCAGCAATATCTGATGAAAACCCTCGAGTGTTCTTGACCAGATGATTTGATAGTCCTCTTGGGGAAAAGAAACCCACATATTTTGATCTCCTTTTCTTGCCTCTTGAGCTCATACATCAGAATCTATGGAGATACTTTTTTCTCTCGCTGAGAATTTTTAACATGCAGCATTGTTTCTTTATATTAGTGGCTATTCATGTCACACTAATGGGAAGAATCTAGTTAACAGCAAATACAGTCTTGAGATGGACCATTTTAAAATCAGTAAAGTTATGATTAAGTGCATATTGAAAGACTTAGTACTGTGTCACCGAGAACTAGTCTTCCTAGTTTTTTTAAAAAACAGCCTCAAGCTTAATTCAGTAAAGCTGTATGGTCATTTGCTCATAGTTTCACATATTTCCTTTCCTCAGTGTTTCAGAATAAGAAACAAACAGTACCTGAGAGAGAAGTTTTCTTTCTGTCTGTCTGTCTGTCTGTCTTTCCATTTTCAGGGAGTAGGGCAGAAGCTAGCATCCTAAATCCTTCTCATGATTTAATTTCATGACATCCCACTGAATAGATTCCTAGCCTGTGCTGCCAGAAATAATCCTCTCTGACTAAGGTCTGATTTACTAAACATCTGGTACAAGCCCTATCACTGCAAGTAACAACATGTTCTAGTTTATGAACATAATTGTGTACAGCACGTTTTATATGGCTTGTAGTTTACTTTTTTTGGAGGGTAAGAACCATAAAGTCATCCCCAAAGAGGTGGTTTGTTTGTTTAGTTTGTTATGAGGTTAGACATAGAAACTCTTGCATGAAAACTTACTCTGTTATTGACTGTGTGATCCTGCTATTGAGAACATATAATTTGAACTTCTTTTTTTCACAATTAATTACATCTTACAATGGATTTTGGACCTTTGGTTCCAAGCAGTTGTCAGACCACAGTTAAACAAAAGTCCTGGCACAGGTAACTTCCCCACGCTACGTATACAGCATTTTAAAAAGCCTTATTCTGCAGTCATCTTGGAGCAGTTGCCCAAGCTCTCCTCTTTCCTGAAATTGTGTCCTGGAAAAAAAAGAAAAAAAAACCCTTTCTTTGTACTTTAAACACAGTAAAAATAATATGTGATTTGGAGCTTGGTTAAATATCTCTTCTTCCTTATAGACCTGCCAGAAGATGAAATGCTTGTCTTTTCTGCACTTCTTTGTTGAGTCGGCTAGTTTAATTGCTGCTTTTCCCTGACAATCGTAATAGGGCAGCAGAACCTGTACTGGAATCTTTCCCAATGGCTGGAACCCAAAGAACAACCAGGGACAGGTTTCTGCAGCACGTGTCATGCCACAACAYGTAGGCATCGAGCACTGTCATATTGCAGCAGGTTAACCTATCAAAGGAGTGGAGACAAAAGACTCATATTAGTAGTCTGTGACTGCCTAAAAATGAGTTAAATATTTCTGATTATAAAAGCAAAGATGAATTCAACGGGATATTTCTTTAAAATCAGCAGTGTGATTCCTTTGCCCAGTATGCTTTGTGGCAGTGTTCCTGTATGTGTCTGCTTGTTTCATTCTTATGCATTATTTTCCTCTTTTTCAGTGAAACCTGTGCTTTGTGGTTATTTAGACAAGACAGATACTCATCCTCATAAAGACAAGTGKATTTTTTTTTAGATTCAGGGGTTAAATCTCTTGCAAAAATATTTGCTTTASCCTATTTAGTTAAATGCGGAACGTGTTCTTAAAATACTGTTTTGAAAATATAAACTTGTTTGTAATAGCAGTCTTCAGAAGGTGAACAAAATGAATGGGTTTTATTAATCTTTTTGACACTAAAAATCTTTAAGCTATAATATCTCAATTCACATATGTCATYGACATAAAAYAGCAAAAAATCTATAGAAAGACTTAGTTTTTAAGGATCGATAGTTCAAATTTAGTGAGTTAGTTGCATGGCACCATAATTTATRTGGAGTTAAGGTTTCAGTATTCTACAGTACGCCAGTCATGGTAACTGAAAATTACAGCTCAGGATATTGCTTTTACTTAGTAAGTTATTTGATATTGTAACAGGAATATAATTTGCAGTAATATCTAGTGTCATTGTACTAAGAAAAATTGCTACTCGGTGAGATTGACTGTACTCCAAAGAACAAAAAAAACATTTAATTTTCTGTGTTTAAACAAAATATTTTATAAAGCAGCTTGAATGGATTCTCACCATTCTCTTTGCTAAAAGGTATCTGAAAACAATGTTGMTGGCTTGCTTTGTTCTAGAAATGCATTAAGACTTTGGATTGATATTTTGTCAGTCAATTTGGAAAATCAGCTTGGGAAATAATGAAGTCCTGTTTATTCTGGGATTTGTGAAACATCTCCACATGTTTCCACAACCTTTATAATGGGTTATAATCGGTATTACTGATATATTTGAATGTGTGACAATTCATATAATTGGAATTAGTAGGTATATCAAATTTAGACTCTTTCAGGTTTTATTATGGCTCCATGTTTATGCAACTTTGCATTTTTGTGTCATTTAGTAGTGTGGTAGATAACTATTCATCAGACAAGAATATAATATATCAGTTGATCAGCTACACTCAGGACTTTCACAGTTATCAATTGCTTCTTGAAATGAATAGTTCACTTTTACAGATATGTTTGCTAAAATTAAATCTCTCTTTCTGAATTGTGCAGCTAGCAGAATTGAGACAGAGGTTGGACCATGCAGAGGCAGATAGACAAGAGCTTCAAGATGAACTGAGACAAGAACGAGAAGCAAGAGAAAAGTTAGAGAGGATGATAAAGGAATTGAAGCTACAGATCCTGAAATCTTCAAAAAATGGAAAAGGAAAATAGAAAACGGAAGAGAGAAACGTAACTCTGTCCTTCAAACAGGGTGTTTTGTTTTTTGATGAATTTTGAGCAGTTTCTTTGTTAAGAAAAAGTGTTCTTTATAGATTTCTAGTTCCCAAACGAGTCAAGAAGAAGATATACGYAAGTATAGAGAGATAGAAAGATAGGTATGAACTTTAGGTATTCTGAACCAATGAAAACTACATTTATTTGTACTGTGTTTTTCTCAAACTATGGAAAAAAATGAAATGTTTTTTGATTTACAGTTATCGGTTTCTGTCTATTTCTGTTGTTGTTTGAGGGCTCTGTACCTTTGAAAAACAACATTGTATGTTAAAAATATATGTGGCAATCCTTATTTCACTATCAATTGCACATCCAATTATAATTTTTTTTTTTTTAACTACTTCAAGATCAAAAATGGTGTGGGCCTCTGTGAGAATTACATGTTCTCTCTGCCAGGAAAGCAAAGACAGCTTTTCATTTGCCAGGGTAATGCTCAAAATTGCCAGGATGAGGAAAGGTGATTGAGCATCAACAATTATTTACTAGCTTGATCTATTTTTTTAGCTCTTAATTTTATTGTACGAATTGTCAAACTGATTTTTTTTTCACTATTTGCTGTTTAACAACTCAGTATCAACCTAAAAAGTTTTAGAAACAGCCTTTGGTTATGATGCTGGAATGTTTGTTTTTGTGAAGAACAGCAATTAAAATATCATCTTTTAAAATTAAGAACAGCAATTAAAATATCATCTTTTAAAATTAAAACTCACATGTTTTCTTTTGTTATCTTCTGTATAGCAGATACAAAAGAAATATTAAAGGCTTAAAGGTAGGAGTTTTCTTCCTGAATTGCGAGGAAGCTTGACTAATAGTGTTTATCAAATATTAATGATCTTAAAAATAATCCTACAGATTAGTTTCTTTAATATCCCATGCCTCCACAATTGCAGCTTCTTGCCATTGCACAGAGCAAGCCTTAACTGACATTGTGGTAATTATTTAGAAAAATCTAATTGTAAGAGATGGCACTTTGAAAAAAAAATTTGAGAGTTTCTGTATTTGAATGGCATGGTAATATTACCATGAATTAAGAAATACAGCATGTTTGTTAAGCTATGACATTTGCAAATGTGTAGTTGTACAGAATTTGTTTTGTGTGTGTGTATATATAACATTTACTTGAGTACTTCAGAAGTCTGGCTCCTGATGGGTTAAACGCATGACTAAAAGTGGGGTGAAAAAACACATTTTTGCACTTCCCTCCAAAACCTTTGATATAGCTGACAGATGTTAGCTGATTGTCAATGATGATAGATATTTTAATAATCTTAATATTTCGCTAAGTAATTTTAACCTGTACTCTAGCTTTGGATGTTTTTTAAGGTACTTACTGTTACTATCTTAAAAAATCAGTTAATTTTGGATAAAACCACTGGTAAAAGCTTAGTGTTGATTTTTATTCTGAGCTGGTAAAATTGAGGACTTTGCATTCTTTTCCTTCTGCCTTTCAGTAGTAAAATGGAACTATATATAAAAAGAAAGAAAAAATTGCACAGATCTTAAACTGAATGAGAAATAGAATTGTTAATAATGTCATGGAGTCATAGAATTTTTCTTTGAAAGCTCTGCATAATTTTGTTTATGGACAATGTTTTATTTCCTCTGAGGTTTGTATCAGGTTAGACAAATATTTGTTTGTTTGTTTGTTTTTTAGGTGAATCATTGGGTTGGTTTGTTTGTTTTGAAGCAAACCTGTCTTCACGACATAGTGATGATTTGCAAGGAAGGGTGCTGAGTATAAATGATTCCTGTTTTGTATTCACCACTTGCTTTAAAAACACAATGAATGTTTTATTATAATAATAACCAAAAAAAAAAAAAACAACCAACAACAAAAAAAAAAAGCCCACATTGCTATAGGAACAGTAGGCAGGAATCTTGGTAAGAGCATGAATATTAGGCAATGGAGCTTGAAGTGGTCTCATTTGATTGACAGAACTGAATTTAGGATTAGCTAGATTGGCAAGAAAGAAAACTGCTCTGGGAGATTGTAAATTATATAGTTTCATCCAGGTATCATCAAAGGATCAAAACATATCATTTTCAGTTACTTTTCAATAACTGTTTTGAACCAAATTTGTTCACTTGTTGCTGTARATAAAGCCAAACAGACTCGTTAAATATAGCTGACGCATCCGATTTACCGCAGTATTTTATATCTTAGCAGCTGAGCGTGTAGAATCCTCATGGGGTTATTTTGTTAGAGTTCTGCACCTCCAGTTTTTGTTCTGGTCTTCTCAAGATTATGTGATTYCAGCAAAATTCTTCCCATTGTGCTACTGGCTGATTTCACCAGCGCTGACTGCGGTGGAGTCCTGGTGTAGCCAGGGTTTCGGTGCCTTAGCCTGCACTTTAACCACCCGCCAGCCACCTATACAGCTGGCTTATGCAGTAGACCATTAAAATGCTGGTGGCAATAGGATTTACTTGTATTTTCATTGTTAAAAGAATTGAAGCAGCTATAGCAAGTTTTAGTCATTCCAGCTGCAGATAAGACCTCCTAATACTTTTAGAACATTTGGYTGAGAAAGCTAATTGAACATGTATTAAAATGGCTTAAAAAGTAGCTTTGTAAATACTCCATTTAATTATCCTAAAGTTAGAATGCATTTTAAATTATTATAATCATCTTAAAATCTTAAATATCACTTTGAGGTTCTTAACATAAATAATTTTCATATGTGTAGACTTAATTTTTTACCGATTTTAAGTAATAATGTATACATAAATGTGCCATAGATTTTGTGCGTCCACAGTCATTGAAAGATAGTTTTTTAGTAAGTTGTAAATAATACTGTATACGTTCTAGGACAAATAGTTATGTCGACCTTTTTTCACTACCTTATACCCGTTCTCTTGAATGGCTTGTTTCACAACCTAATATAGAACCTTGGAATGCCCCCTTAAGGCCCCCAACTTAAGTGCACAATTAATGAAACTAATTCTGGCAATAGGAACTTGCCTTTAGTCATAGATAGTCGTTTTGTGTGTTAATACTTGTTTTGCATTTGTTTTTTGCTTGCTGATCTTGTAGACAGGAAGTCTGTTTCACAGATTTTGACATAAATCTTTTAAAAAAACAAATCCTAAAATTGTCCACATCTGTAATAAGTTGCAAAAGCTGCTTCAGACCAGAATCATTACTTTGGGAACCAAGTAATTAGGATTCCAGGTGAATATCTAAGTTTGCTCCTGTTCTTTTTAAAAGAGAACATCCGTGTGCTTTGTGTACTTTGATCAGCAAGGAAATGTAAGAACTTCAGAGAGTTTTTCTTGAGTATTTAGATACATGTAGTTCTGTTTCACGTTCTTCAACTAATTTTATTCTATATTTAATATATTAATAGCTTAGATGGAAAATCATTTGTATATAGGAAARGCATAATGCAATTAGTGAAGTAGGAAAAGTTGAGAAGGAGCAGAAAGCTCTCGGTGGCCTGAAAAAATAGGGCTTGGCCCATATTTTAGATGTCACAACTGTTTGTTCATACGCTCTTGGTTTGTACTGGGGGAGGGGATGGCTATAACGTGTTACGAAATTTTTGGAAAACTTTCCTAGAATTAGTTGTGAAGCCGGCCGTGAATTGCTGTCGTGGCCAGTTTCCTAAAATGCCCTTGTTTGTAGAATATATATTTTGACTTGTCAGTAAAGACAACGACTTTGTATTTTTTCTGCACTTAATCRTGTAATTAATCCACACAGCAAAGTTTTCTGTAATATCATAAAGTCAAAAAAAGACATAATTGCACCTAATATTAGTCTGTGCTTGCAATACTTCAGCATTTTTATCTGATCCGTCAACAGTCAGCAACAGAAAGCTGCACATTTCAAGATTTTTTTTCTGCTCATGACATTTGTAGCTTGGGACGTCAGAAGAGCTTTTACCGCAGAAAACTTGTTGTAGACACTTTTATTTGCTACATATCTCATTCAAAAAGACATCGATYTTTAGCTTTTGCGAAAGTTAACATTGCCTACAAATTGCATGATTTCATTCTGTGTCTCCATTTAGAGGGTTTTTTTGGTGGAAATTTTCATTTTCATTTGGAAAATGTTTGAAAAATGAGTTTGAAGCACTTCATCAAGCACAGCAAACAAATGTTTTAAAAATTAATTTGTTATTTGAAAATTAAGTGTAACAGTATCAATTGAATTTTTTTCATCAAATATAGATACCTCACTTAAAGGAAAGCACAGCTGTACTGTATTTAAAATAATTCTAGGAAATGCTCAAAAGAGTTCRTCTAAAAATATTTTGTTGCAGTTATATTGTCTTCTGCGATTGACAGAAGCTGTTTTTGTGTTTTCTTAGTCACTAAAAGTATTTATTGATGTTGATATGCCAGTACAATTAATCTTAAATTACAGGAAACAGCTGCAAACGCGAAGAGTCTGTCTTAGCTCAAGGCAACAGGTTGAACAACTATGCTGAACCTGTAGTAAAAACCTGAGAAAATGATCAGTGCATTCAACAATTTTTAATACTTTGCCAATGATGTACAGTTTTATTGCTAGAGTTGCTGTGGTTGCATTACATGACACACAAAACTGTCCTCTACCTCACGTGAGATTTAACAGATATTTTATATGGTTTTAGTAAACAAGATGCATCTATTTGGTCACTTAGTTTACAAATTTTGAATTATATTTATTGAAACATGACATACTGTGCTCTTAGCTTATACCTCAATTGTATTTTGTGCTGTTATCCATTTTCATGCCCTGTAAATACCTTGTATAGATTGTGGATTCAGAAAACAAATAAAGATCTGTAATGTCAAGACACTTGTTCTCTTCATGTTTTCGTACAGTGAGTTATAAACCTGGCATTTTGGAAGGTGTTTAGCAAGGCTGCTTTTGTGCAGAGCACGTGGCCTTTCTGGCTTTGCTTACAATAAATGAAGACCTGATTACATTGAAAGTTGCTAGCAGACCTCCCATTGCCTGAAGCAGGTCTTCAATTTGGGGAAAAGGTATATTTAGGAAAATCTACAACATTGGTAGCCTTCCCCAACAAGGAGTTAATTTTCTAAGGTTCCTATAACTCAGTGAAAATATTATTGACACATTTCTTTGTATTTTGTCATAAAATTGATGTATGCATTTGCACATGCAAATTCTTGTACGTTGGGTCTGTGCTCAAGTGCACAGCTTCTGATATCGCTTGACTGCTTTGGCAATTTCCATATGTCTGCACCTCTCAGTAATAAATTTAGTAATAAGATTAAAAACATGTTACCATATAAAATGCTGAAGTTTATATAGAATTTAAGATTAAAAAGAAATAGATTCGTACTTACTTTGCTGAAGAAGAAAAAAAAGTGTTCACTGCCAATTGAAAATTTGCCCTGCAGTGACTCTCTTCAGATGGTTATCAGCGTTTTTTTCTTCTACCATCTGGAAACTTAAGTAGCTGGAAAATAAGAATGGGAGAGATTGGAAGGCRCCAAGGGGAAAAGGAGGAGCTGTTCATCTTGACCAGGTATGAAGGGCTTTTCCATTAACGCTCCCAGCTATAGCAGTAGGCTGTATTCTGTTGGCTGTTTAAATAGATTTACAGTGTCTCATTTAAAAAACAAACAAAACCAACACTTTTGCAAATAATGCATTTTTGGATATGATTTTATTCCTATGAGTATTTTGTGACAGATTGCAGCACACACTTTTATAMTTGTCTTTCCTGCAGAGCCAGAGCAGAGAGTGTTTTGTCCTTGTTTTAAGGAACTGCTCTCTTATATGGGAATCCTCCTTATATTTCACAGCACTTCAATGCTACCAAGTGCAGCTTTAGAGCAAGGAGGAAGAGGATGAAATCAGTAAGATTTTGGTGAGTTCAGTTGCTGGTATGGGAAAAAAAATGCATCTCTTCCTATATTTTTATTCTACTGTGTTTCCAAGCAAAGGAGAAGCTGTCATACCAAAAAATAYATAACGTTTAGATGAGTCACGTGAAAAGAACTCATAGGGTGTTGAGAATTTGTGTAAGTAGCCATGGTTAATTGTAGCTGCTGTCATTTACCAGAGAAAACACTAAATGCTGATCAAGGAAAAACACTTAAGTAACAAGATGAAAAGATTATGGGTTGTAAGATGTTCACATTGTTGCTGCAGTAAGTGCATGGGTAGCAAATCATGAAAGTCCAGGCAAAAACAACTGGCAGTGTGGCTTCACCAAGCTGCAGTAAACTGGCTATAGAGAAAAAAAATAACCATTTAAAATGAATGTAAATAATTTCTACGTTTATACATATTATTAAAAACTCCTCTGTGATGTCCTCTAGGTGTCCCTGCTGGAGCAGGGAGGCTGGACTGGATGATCTCTGGAGGTCCCTTCCAACCTCAGCCATTCTGTAATTCTGTGATTTTATTACCATTTAAAGATAATTATCAACCCTGTAGTACTGGTCATTAATAACTAGTGTTTAGAGGCAGCTCATGCAAAATGGACTTGTGTCCATAAGTCCTTGAATTTTGAATCTAAAGAGCATGTGTGAATTGAGGGTTAGGATAGGCTGCCTGTAGCTCGTGGTTTATGCATGGTTTGTGTGCTAATAGAAAAAAATGGTTGAAGAGAATGATAGAGCTCATTCGTGACATCTTAATATTAGAGTGTAGCTTCCAGTATTTCTTTTTCATTAACAGTTGTAGGAGTAAAACAAATTTATTGCTCTCTAATTTTCTTCCTGTCACTTTTTTTTTTTTTTTTTTTTTTTTAAATAATGTAATGATCAAGCTACTCCACTAGTGGTCTCTGCAGGCATATTTTACTTGTCTGACTCCAAACTTCTCTGCAGAACTGCAAGCACTTGTGGATACAACACTGTGTGTTTTATCAGGAATAAGCTGCCATTCAGTAATACATATGTGTCTGTGGAAATAAAAAGTAACACTGGGAGAAATATCCTATTTGCCTAGATATTCCCCTGGCTCAGAACAGCACGTGAAGCTTTTCAGTTCATGATATTTTGCTGTATATTGTTCTTTCCTTTGTGGAACAGAATGAAATCTGCAAACTTAGTGAGGCTGAGTGAAAAGCCATTTATCCTGGGTTTTAGGATTCAAAAGTAGAATTAAGATGCTGATAACAAAAAAAAAAAAAAAAAAAAAAAAAAAAAAAAAAAAAAAAAAAAAACTGGGACTTTCTGAGTGTTGCTAGTCCTTTTGAAAACTTGGGCATGAGAAGAGTTAGTAGTGATGTCTCTTGTGTTCTTGCAGCTACTGAAAACACCAGCAAAGAGAGGAGAGGGGACTGGTTTTGGCTGCTGGAAATGGGCACAGGCTGTGGAAGGGTTTGCACGAGGTGATCAGAGCCCAGTCTGGGGTAACAGTCCCTGTTGCTGCCCTGTGCTCAAGAAGCATCAGTGTGATGGTTCGTCCTCAGCTCAATGAAATCACTCTAATTAGCATTTCTTCATCCTGAAACTTCAGCATTTGGCTTGTTGGCGGTTAAGCGAAGCAGCCCGTGCGATGTTTTAAGGCGCCGATTGGGAGGAAGAGAGAAGGGTGCCCTGGGCAGAGGGGCACGAGCGCCTGGGCGCCCGGGAGCGTTGGCGGCCGCCCCGTCCCTTGTCCCTTTGCCTTCCTCCTCCTCCTCCTGGGGCTGGGGTGAGGGGGGCAGTGTCTGCGCCTCCTCCTCTCGCCACCCCTTGCCCCATGGCAGGGAGCAGCCGGGGCCCCGCTCGCTCCTCCCCTGCGCCGGGGCCGGAGGCAGCTCTGACACCTCCCTGGGACGGAGCCCGGCAGCTCCCCGGAGCAGCAGAGCTCGGGCAGCCGTCGAGGCCGCGCGCGGGCTCCGCTCAAACTCTCTGCCTTCTTCCCCCTGCAGCTCGCGCGCCCACGGAGCGACATGGTGGCCACCTGCCTGCACCTGGCCGGCTTCGTCTGCAGCTTCATAGGGTGGATCGGGGTGGTGGTCGCGACGGCCACCAACGACTGGGTGGTGACGTGCGGCTACACCATTACCACCTGCAGGAAGATGGACGAGCTGGGCTCCAAGGGGCTCTGGGCAGACTGCGTCATGGCCACRGGGCTCTACCACTGCAAGCCCCTCGTGGACATCCTCATCTTGCCAGGTGGGTGTTCCCCGTCCYCTCTCCTTCTGCCCAGGGCACCTCCAGAGCTCGTCCAGTGCAATATGTCAAAGAACTTGAATAATGGCTCTCAGGGCAGTTTTCRTTAAGTTGGGGCTGTTTTAATTGTAGCTAGGCATGGTTTCTTGTGCAATTARAGCCCACTTAATGCTATCCATCACTGCTCTTACTGTGTTCTTGCTATTCCCTTCGCATCACTCATCCAGACAGTATTGYGAAACGGAATAGTGTATGAAGATGTAATACAGCATTTTGAAGAATATAGAMATCCCATTAAGTTTTGTCTTGAGATGAGCTGTTAGCGATATTAAAGTTCAATTCCCTAAAATGGTTTTGAGACTAATGAATCTTTCAGAATGTATTATTAATGATGTTATGACTTTTAATCTTTTTGGGAGATTGTCTTCACTCTTGATATTCTTGTACCTCTTGTGTTAATGCAAGGTAGAACTTTTACATAGCAAACAGACATAGCTAAGTTTAATTTCTCTTGATATTTGCCAATTATACAGTAATTTTCAGCCAGTTTTACACTAAAGCAAAGATTTAGCAAGGTTTTCCATCAGTATTAATGTATCTTTCAAACTAGCTAAGTCTGACAAAGTCTTTGTGTAATCTTGGTTCTGTAATTTAATGATTTTATCTATTTCAATCACTGTTAGCTTTATAGCACTTTTTTTTTTTTTTTTTT